GGCAGAGCTAGAACTTGAGTCCAGTCAGGCATGTGGACCCATTTTTCCATGCCACCAATACTGCATCTCATCTGAATTTTTACATTAAAACATGCTCTCCCACCAGTTTTTCCAATTTGTGGTGATGGTAGTGATAATTTTACCAAGAGACTCTGAAATGAGAGGCACACTGTAATAGGATGACTAAGAGAGTGGAGACCATTATTAGCAAGATTTGTATCCTGGATCTGCCTTCTAAGCAGGAGAACTGCATGTCTTAGTTCTCCCAGGATGGTCCTGGTTGTCCAGCATCATGGCAGACCTTCCCCCAATACCTGTGGGCCACAGGGTAGGAGTAAAAATGGCAAACAGTCCAGGTCACTCCACTATTTTTCTTCCTACCAATGGGCTCCATGTAGATGTGTGTCTTAGACTGTTTCTGCTGTTATAATGAAACACTTTAAGACTAGGAATGTGGCCCAAGGGGTAGAACATTTGCCTAGCAAGCTTGAGGCCCTGAGTTCAATCCCCAGTACCAGTGAAGAGGGAGAGTGAGGGGGAGGGGAGGGGAGAGAAGGAGAAGGAGGAGGGAGGAGAAAGAGATAAAGGAAGGAACAAAGGGAGGGAGGGAGGAAGGAAGGAAGCTTTCTTTTTTCTTAAAAAGAGAGTGCTCATAGATGTGGAGGCTGAGAGGTCATCCATCAAGGCACTAGCAGAGGGCTATTTTCTGCTTCCAAGATGATGTCTTGTTTCATCCTCATATGGTAGAAGAGTAGATGGATTAAAAAAAACCCGGTGGCCTAGCTAGTTCCCTCTATCCCTCTTCTCAGGGTACTGAGCCTCTGACTTAATCACCTCCTAAAGATCCCATCTTTGAATGCTATCAGATTGGGTCTCAACATGTGAATTTCCAGGGGACAAATTCAAAATCACAGCAGTGTGAGTGGACACCACAGCTTGCATGTTCAAACAGAATCCATCCCCAAAGGCTATTTGGAACTAGAAGTGACTACATCTGCCACTTTGACTGCCCTTTCGAAGATATACCTGGGGAAGAGACCAACCAAGTTTCTTTTTAGAGGATTAAGGTCATTTGAGCAAGATTTTGGTGTCCTACGGAGACTTGGAGCATGGCCTAAAGAGAGTGGCACTGGTTCTGAGTCAGCAGAACCCTATGTCCCATGCCCCACTCAGCCCCTGAGAAAAGCATAGCCAGAGGAAGTGGAATGGGTCTAAATGCAAGTGTGAGCAGGGACGTCCCCTCGGGATTCTAGATGTTGATTGAAACTCGCTTCCCTGGCAAAGGTGACTTGGTTTGCAGTCTATCAGACAGTTACCTTGTTATGAGCTGTGTGACTTTGGGCATTGCTTCCCATTAGATTAGTGAAGTGGGGAAAAGGGTGCTGTGGTGACCACAAGGTAGATGTGGCTGGTGGGTATGAGTGACATGGATCACTTTCAGGGGGCAGCATTTGATGGCCTGGGTTTGGCTCCCTGGATGGGGGATGTGTGGATGTAGAGATGCACTTCTTGAGCCTCCCCCAGTGCTGCTGCCATGACAATTGCCAAGACTACACCAGCCTTGAAAAAGCAAGATTCAACCTTTGCTGTTTGTTGCTACAGCATAAATCAGCTTAGCCTCTTTTCTTCTTCTTTCTTTCTTTTAATTTTGGCCAGTACTAGGGTTTGAACTCAGAGTCTGGCATTTGCCAGGCAGGTGCTCTACCAATTAAGCCACATCCGTAATCTTAAAATTATTTCATTATATTTTCAGATGGAGTCTTGTGTTTTTGTGCAGGGCCAGCCTCAGACCCTGATCCTCTTAGCTATCCCTCCTGCATTGTTGGGACCACAGGTGTACCTCACTACATTCAGCTTATTGATTGATAAGCTGAATTATTGATTGATTGATATTTTTTTTTCCCCAGGGCTGGTGTTGAACTGAGTTCCTCCTGACTCTGCCTCTCAAGCAGCTGGCATTACAGATACGTGCCACCATTCCTGGCCTCCATTTTCTATTTTATGTGAAGAAAAATTATAGAGGTAAGTAAGGCACAGGGGTGGTGGAATGTATGATGCCCAGGCTGTCGCCTGGGACTCAACAGAATTGAGAGTGAAGATGGCTTCTTTGGAAATAACCTCAAGTTTGGCTAAGTCCCATGAGTTTAAGGGCTGGTGACATAATCTTTCCAGTACTCAAAAAAATTTTAATACTTCCACGTAAGCCAAAGCAGTGAAATTATGGCACTTGTTGAATTTTAGTGGGAAATTCTAGCACTGTAAAGTGTTTTAACACTACAGAGAGCCAAATCTCAATTGCCTGCTCTTGGAGGAAGCTGGGATGTTATTATAAAAGTGGCCAAATAAACCTGGAGAGACTTAAAAAGAAATTGTGAGCCATTCACTCCCTCCCTCCCTAGTGTGTTTTGCTGAGCTGCTAACTTGAAAGTAGCCAGCTTGTTCCTGTGTGCTGTGCACTTCTGAGCAGAGGTGACCTGTGTGTTTGCTAACAAGGGACTACCAGCAATCATCCAGGCAGGTGAAGAAAGCCTTAGAAATTGAAGATTTTCTAGCTACTTTTTTTGGTGTTATACTTGGATCCACTTGAAAACCCACAATAAGAGATGAGTGGCACAAAATGTGAGTTCATGTTTTGCTTAGACAGAATATGGCTGCTAGCAATTAATTCTTTCAGTCACGTTAAGCATTAAATAATGTCTTGTGACATTGCAGTATTTCCCATTACAAATCAATTTTGTAGCATTTGTTCATAATCAGAGTTGAAATGTTACCTAGAAACGAAATATGTTTTCCTTGAAGCAGTCAGACCTTATTAGAAATCTAAGGTTTTATAAATCACTGTGTTAACAGTTATATCCCCTGGCTAGGGTTTTCTTTCTTTAAATGGTGTTAAATTCAGCCCTAGAAGCTCACGTCTCTTTGAGGGTTACCCTTTTTACGTGCACTGACTTGAAAGGAAAAACTTAATGTACCAAATATATCTCATGTCCTACTATGCACATCTAATACATCAACCACGATTCCCTTTTGCAGGGAAAAGTAGTGTTAGCACCTTGCAAAAGTAGTGTGCTTATAATCAGGTTACATATTTTCTCATTTCCTTAAAAGACAGTTGTAATTGTCCGGAAGAAAAAAAGGCATCAGTCTATACCAGGGTAAGAGGAATTATTCTCATTTTCTGACCACGTTAACGACATACTGTGAGTCAGCAAAGAAATAGGGAAAGCATATGAAAAACAGATTTGGGGCAGTGCAACCTAAGGCTAGATCACATTTTTGGAGCCAGGAAATCTGGATTCGAGTTCTGACCCTGCCATTTAATCACTGTGGAATCTGGGGCAATTGCTTAACTTTCCATCTTGCTGATGGTTGTTATTTTAATATTTTTTAAAAAAATTTTAATGTTTTTGACTAGAACTACCAGGCTTTCATTTGTTCAGCGAATAATTACTGAGTGTTTAGTGTGTGCTGGATTCCACCATTGGCTGGTCCAAGAAGTAGTTTGTAAATGGGACAAGCTGCTAATCCATGTGAACACAGAGGCAGAGGCAGGAATGACAAGTCACAAACTAGTCACCAGAAGAAACAGACTCTTTTCCCTCTGGGGTTTTTGAAGGAGCACAGCCCTGCTGATGTGTTGAGTTCAGACTCTGACTGTGGGAGCTAAGTTTCTGCCTTGGTGCACCCCACTCTGGGTAATCTGGACTGTGGCTGTGAGGAACAAGTATGAGCAGCAGTGCACACCAAAGAGAAAATACATGACACGAGAGGGGTGCAAGTGGGGGACTCCTTTGAATACTGGCATCTGGAAAGATTCACTGAGGTTCCACAGGTGTCACATGAGGATGTGGGAAGTAGGTAATCTGTATCTGGGGGTGTGGCAGGTGCAAAGGGCCTGACCTGGGAATGATCCTGGTGTGTTCGTAGATCGGAGTCAATGGGGCTGGAATATGGAGGGCAGGGGGTGAAAAGGAGAGTAAGGAGATGCTACCCAGGAGGGAAGTAAGGACCAACTCCTTCAGAGAGGCCTCACTGTCTGGATTTTCTAATTGAAACCTGTCTCGGAAAGATCTTAGTTCAAATGACCTGCAGATGCCCTAACTCACAGAAAAGGAAGAACATTAAATATATATTCACTAAATGAGGGAATATGGATATATTCTGAACACTCTAGTAATCGGATTCAAAAAACTACAGAACCTTCACAATCTTATTCATGTAATCTCACCACTTCAATTCCACTTATCTGTAAAGTCAAACACCACAGGACACAGTAGAAAATCCTCAAGGGGATCCTTTATTTCACTCGCTTCCTACTTACAAGGTGGAATTTCAACCTGTAATTGTCTCTGCCAGGTCAGTCAATGGCTCAGAGTGTCACCTGATTCCAATTCCGGGTACAAACCATCCTGGGGGCAGGTCTGAGGGTTCTGGATTCACCAGATGAACTCCACCATGTTTGGCTCTCCTAGAATCCCACGACCTCATTCCAATTCAGGATCAAGGAAATGGATTGTATTTCTAGTCATTATTTCAAAGATCAGACCTGCCTCATTTCCATGTTAAGAAAATGTTCTCAAGTATATGTAATGTGTTTACCATGTGCCTATACTTCAATGCCTGATATTCCTTTTCCCTACCTCTAAAATTCCTTTCTTGTTCACATTATCTTTCTTGATTGCTTTTTATTATAAAAACAACAAAGATGCGGATTTATTGTGCACATTAGCAGATCCACACAGAAAAATGCACAAAGGTTTATATACCACTTACAGTAACAGCTCAGAGTATAAAATCAAGAAAGGGTTTCAAATATTGGACTTGCTCTGAAATAAGCCTACCTAGGACAATACCACTTTTGCTTCATCAGAATTTTTCTCCCCAACTGTTTTAACAGTGGTAAACATAAAAAGTCTGATAGTTAAAACACAAAGCAGTCACGCTGTACACTGCCCCACAGCCCACCCAACTTCTGAGTAACAGAGCTTTCTCAAGTTTTATTCCCCTTTCATTTAGTGGGAAAAAAACCTTTAAAAGTCATGTTGTAACAATGTATCCCCATAGAGAATTGTGATTTGCCAATATTTTAATGTGCTTTAAGAGAAATCTTACTGAAAAAATAGTAATGATCGTTTTCCAGTAAATATGGAGTGAATAATTTTTACCCCAATCTGAGGTATAATTACTTTTTTGGGGATACACTGCTGAAAGTAGACAACTGTAGCAACCACCCACGACAATAAAAGCAAGCCTGTGACAGTCTGCCTTATTATGGTGAGTGTCTATCAAAGTTCATCATGATTTTTTGTGAGATCTTCCCCATAATTGGTGGCTTGGCTTCCAACAAACATGTTCCAGTTGTCCAATATTTCCTCTTTCGTTAGCTTCTCATCCTGTGGAGAGAGGAAGAGCTGTCAGGGAAGGCCTGGTAACTGTGGGTCTGTTGCTCCCATGTTATTTCACTGATTTGCAATGTTTTAAAAACAGTATCTAACCATTCAGAAGCTTCTGGGCTCCTTCTTCTACTGTGACTGCACAGCAAAACTCTAAACTAGACCAGCCTCTTGCTACAAAAGCTGTGCTCAAATGTTTCAGTGAGGTCCTAAGGGAAGTCAGAAGCTAGAAGCCATTTGTGTCTACCAGCAGTGCAGGCATTCCCGAAGCCAGCCCTAAAGAATTCCACTCCCCTTTTATGGCCTAACCCTATAACCTATCTGCAAACTTGGATTTTGGGGCAATTTGCAACGTGGGATTGAGGCAAGACTTCTGTTTGAATCTTATTTATGTATTTGTAGGCTCGTTTATTTATTCTGCAGTGCTACAGATTGAACTCAGGGCTTTCTGCATGCTGAGCAAATGCTCTACCACTGGGCTACACATCCACAGTCCCTAATTATTTGGACACTTATCTGTAGATATGAAGTGCTAGCACTGGAGCCAGAAGAGGAGCTTGGCTGAACCTGTCTGGGCTCCAGTGGAAGGGGCTCCCTTACACCTAACACATCACAGAAGTTTGATAAATATTTGATGACTGAGTGAATGAGTGAATAAACTTGTCTTAGGATATGCAAGGTTTATTTTTTTAATCCATGTCCTGTCCACATCATTACTGGTTCTTTAGTCCTAGGTGTGACTTAATGTTAGTCTATGGCCCACAGCTAACTACTCAGGAAAGTCTGGAGCTCACTGTGGGTCAACATGGTATTGGCTCAAGTTTCCAGGTCTCTACTGTAGGACAAGAGAAGTCAATAGGGCCACAGCCACACCAGCCTATGCTATCACCAAGGAAGCAAACAAAACCAATCTTATGTAAACCATCTTCCTTCAATCAATGATTGTAAATACGAGAACTACCTTGTTTTTGTCTGACTCGTACACCAGGTGCCTGGCTTCAGCCTGGGCATGGTCGTAGTCTTGAGGAAGGATCCAGTGGCGAATCTCATCCTTGTCCAGCTTCCCATCCTTGTTTAGATCCCGGAAATCACTGAACTGCTCCCGCTCGGACAAAACCCAGTCTGGCTCAGGGCCATTGTCCTCATGGGAAAACATATCCTCTAGAAGGGAAGGATGTACTAGGTTACCAGCCAGAAAGGGAAAAGCCAGAAAATTTGACCCCTGAGTTTTTTTTGGAAGTGTGATTGAGCCTTAAGTTTGTTTGTAAAACAGATAACTGACAATCACAGGGTTATTATGAAGATTGAATGAGCTATTTATGTGAAAGCCTCCATACCAAATTGAAAAAAAGTGAAAGCTAAAGTAATGACCAGCATTGAGCACTTTCTACAGTACAGAAAACATGGGAAGTGCTCTACATACATTTTTCTTCATTTGATTTCCTTAACAACCTTATGAAATAGGTGTTGCTGATATCCCCACTTTACAGGTGAAGCAGTGAGGCACAGCTCTACCCTGCAACCCACACCCAGTCTGCACTCGATGCTCACAGAACAAGGGACACTTTGCTTCCAACCCATAGTCTTAACCTCTGTGTTCCTGTGTGCTATTCCTGCTTATATCACTTCCAGGGGACTTTCATATATCATCTTCTTCCACCCTTAACAGCTCTAAAGGACAGATCATTACCCTCATGTGACAAAGCAGCAGAAAAGGAATGAAATATTAATGTAGTGCTTGTGTTGTCACTTGGTCTTAGAAAAGAAAAACCCTGTGGGCAATTGCTCTTCGATGAGAACACAGTTTAGTAAAGGAAGGAAAGGGGAAGGGAGGGAGAGAAGCAGGGAGGAAGGGAGGGAGAGAAGCAGGGAGGAAGGGAGGGAGAGAAGCAGGGAGGAAGGGAGGAAGAGAAGCAGGGAGGAAGGGAGGGAGAGAAGCAGGAGGAAGGGAGGGAGAGAAGCAGGAGGAAGGGAGAGAGAGAAGCAGGGAGGAAGGGAGGAGGGAGGGAGGAAGGGAAAGATTCAGTACAGATACAAACCCTTTATAATTTCAGTACAGGAAAAAGAAAAGTTTTTGCAATAAGTTTCAACATGGGGAAAAGTCAGGTGGCAGAAGGAGCAGGTAGTGGATGAAGGAAGAAGAGGCAAGACTCTTGGCTACAAGGTAGTGGCAGGGTAGACTGACACCTGATTTTCAGAAATCTGAGCTTCATCCAATCCTGCAAAGGTGGGTGCCTTTTATCCTATTTTGTAGATGAGAAAACCGAGGCTTCGAGTGATTACATGACTCCCCCAGGGTCACACAGCTACTAAGTGGACAAGCCAGGGCTCCTAATTCTAGTGCCCTTCCTCCTCTGCCACACCATCACCAGTTTTCCACTTGGCCCTGCCTGAAGAGAAGGCTGTCTCAGAAATGAAGTCACTTGCTAGACAGATGACACAGTGGGTCCTTCTGAACACAAGTCATTCAAAATTCAGTTTTCAAGCACAATACCGTTCCCTCTGTCTCTGACCAGTAAACAATGAAATGCTTCTTTTAGGCAAAACCACTCAAAGAATTTCACCCCTGACTCGCACCATTTCAATGCAGAGTTCAGGAGGACGGGAGGAGCACACATTATTAATCAAAAGTGCTACACTGTTTTTATCAGTCAGCCTTTTCTGTCAGTCTAATTCTATCACCACTGTCATGTGACATGTCTGAGGCTCTGAATGCCTCTCTCCCACGTGCGCCCAGCAAGAGGAAGGCTCTGATAAGATAGCTGTCAGCATGGTTCTACAAAGACAGTGCCACCAAAATCACTTTCATTACTTACTGCAGTGAAAGCTACCTGTCTGTTACCGACAGGCAGGGAATGGTGTTCAGTTTCAGAAACAAATACAATTTTTAATGATTGGTAAAAAACTCTGTTTATCCTTACTGAACGTACTTGACCTTGTGTATGTTTGGGGGAGGGGAGGGTGGTGGCAAAAATAATACAGCCATAAAACCAGAGACTGACAGTGTCTTTGGCTCCAGTTTTACATTTGCCTCTATTAAGTATATGTACAAAATTTACCTCATCCATTTTTCACAACAAAGGATTTTCTAGCACTTACCCGACTGAGACAGAGAAAGGAGAGCTGCTGTGAGAAGACAGCCTGAAGCTGGAGGTACGTGCCACAGCAGTTGGTAGAGATCAAACAGGAACTCTTTGTTGTAGGCTCCTGTAGCGGAGGCTACAGGACACTAGGAAGGGCTCTAGTCAGCTTCTGACCCCAGTGCAAACCTGAGTCTCAATCCACCAGCACTCAGTTACCTGAACACACAATTCTTGCTGCTTAAGTGAAGCCCTTCAGAAGAAAATGCCAAGTGCGGTACTCCCAACCAAAGGATGGGAGATGAGAAGCCTGGATGCCTAGACTACTGAGCAGCTGGGCACTTTGCAGAAGGAGCCACCTCCCTGAGCAGGATGCCTTTCTGCAGAAAGCTCAGTCACCTACAGGTTCGTGGCCACAGCCGTGCCTACTGAGGACTTCTAGGTTGGGTGACCTAAGGTCTGACTTTAGTTTTCCCCTCACCCTGCCTACGCTAGCCTCACTGTGAATCTACAGGCTCTCCAATCCCATTTTCCAGGGTAAACCTTGGTAGTGTGATGCAAAGGGGCCCTGAAAGCCAGGGAGCCAGCTGCTGGACAGTCCAGCCTGTTTGCTCTTCACCACCAAATGAGGCTTAATGCTACTTCCTTGATACTACACTTCTAGGGCTGATATGACAAATCAGGCTAGAAGACCCTCTACACTGGAAGGCCACAGCAGTGACACCACCAGACTTGTAGCAGCTGCTGAAAGAGACATCTGGGAAAAGCAGTCCGATGTGTGGGTGGAGGAATGTTGCCCAGTGAGGACAGCTGAGTGACTCCTGCCAGCACTCACCAATGTACTCGTCCTGGTCCACAAACCCATCCCCGTTCTTGTCGATGTCCTCCAGCGTTTCCTAGGAAGCAAAGGGTAAACAATGCAAGATGGCCATGCACTCTAAGCAAATCTGAGGAGCCAGTGTCCTCCTTTGTCCAGATTTTCTGGTTAACTGTTTGATGACTTCTGGCTCATTCACTTACTTCCCTGGACATGTTTGCCTGTAAAAGGCAGGAAATGGTTTCTGACCCTATTCTCCTCTCCACAATTTTCAGAGAACTTTCTCTTCAAAAGAAAATGTGCCTGTGAACCCAGAGGAAGCCTGGATGGACCAACCAATCTCCATTCTCTAGCCAAACACCCCCTGGGGACCTGAGGGGAACCCAGCTGGAGAACCCAGGATTCACAGAAACAGATTCTAGGACTAACTGGATGAAGGAACAGTTGAATTGGTGTCAGAGAAATATGAAACCACATAGTTAAAAAATTATATGTGACTTCTAAATGTATTCTACTCTGTAACTGGTGTTTATATAACTTTTTAACTAGCTGGGTTTCCTCTCCAAGGTCAATAATTAAATGAGTTTACGATCCACTGACGCAGCAACTCAAAGGCATCCTGGGTCAAAGAAACAGCCAATAGGAGAGCAAAGTGCCAGTCTCAAAGGCACATAATCCACTTGTGGATAATTCCATCCTTATGAACCTCTAACAAATTAGTGGTCATTAAATGGATGTTGGGTGGCAAAGAGAAACAATTCTTGGAGCCACTGTCCAGTCCTTAGAGTCATGGTGGTCAAGAGGCAGAAGCATGACCCGCCCCCCCGCATTGACTGGATAACTAAAATAACCCGGAGGTGAGGTGCTTGTGAACAAAAGCCTTAGCCACCTGTTTCCCAGCATCAGAGCATTTGGAACTGGCTCAGGACATTGGCCTAGAAAACAGGTCGTGGCATTTAATTGTCACAGAAAATGAAGGCATTTGGGACCCAATAAGACTCTGTGGAAAGCAATGACACTCAGAAACCTTACAAGCATAGTGAGCCCTCAAAGTCTAGCATCTGATCCATTCATACTCCGAAGACCCATCCTTAAAAACAGCATCTTTTGAGCTATAATTTTTACTTTAAGTTTCCATAAGGTTTTAACAATCCAATACATACATTCCACTCCAGAATCTTTTTCTAATAACCTCAAAGCTACAAAAAAAAAAAAAAAAACCAAACAGGCAGAGGCTAGCTAGTTGCTCACTCAACCCATCTGTTCTTTCTAGGCACATGTCTAAACTACTTCTCTCATTCTCCTGTTATCTAGGAGGGGCTCTCAGATCACAAATGGAAGGATGTGCCTTTTCTTGACCTGAACAGTAAAGACAGATTGTACCTTCTCTTTATTCTCTTTTTCCTTTGTCTACCACTTAGTTGTTACCAGGATGACCCTGAGGCCATGATATCAGAGCCAATAATGGAAACATCCTGGGTACCTGACATTGCCTAGAGAGGAAATGTCTAGGAGACTCATCTGGCTGGGGGCCATCTATACTGGACTTTGTGTAAGTGAGAAACAAACTTTGACTGTGTTAAATGGTTTCTATTGGGGGCTATTTATTACAGCAGCTAGCTTGTCCTGACTAACTTCCTGGACAGGCTGACATTTAACACATTGGTTTAGAGTTCTCTAATTCCCTTGGTTTTGGAAGAAGGGACAAGATGTAGGGGCAGCTTTCTCTCTGGACTTTTCTCAGCCTAAGCTTTTCATTGACCTCACCAAAACCACAATTTCCTTCATATGCTCAAACTCCTCAGGGTGCAGAAAGGCAGTGAACTCCTCCCGAGTGGCTGTCAGGTCCCCATCGAGGTCTGCAGCTTTGAACCTTCTCTCGTCACGTGGTAGCATCTTCTTGAAGGTGTGATGATCAGAACTATCTTGGAACTCTGCGGGGTTTCCTGCAGGATGTACACAGAATGCTTAAACTGTGCTACTGAGGAAGGTCTTTCCTTCCAAATCACTCATTCTTCACAGCCAAACTGAATACATCAGACAAAAGCTGGTGACCTAAAGAGCTCTTTAAAGCATTTTACTTCAGAATGCCTCTAGTAGCTCTCCTTCCAAGTTACCCAATCATCAAGGCCCAAATGCCTCGTCAGGGGCATTGCAGTAAGCAGTTAAGAGCTCAGGTTTTAGACTATATGAAGCCATACTTCTGATGGCAGAACTTTGCTGTCATCGTGTCATTCTTCCATCTAGAAACTATACAGGCTCCTTGGTTCCCAGTTCATGTTGCCTAAATGCTTCTGCCTGACTTTCAAGATCTCCCTGAATCTGATAATGTATGGAGCCTTGGCTCTCCTCAGGCCCGTCTCCTTACTGTCTCTACCAGGCACTCAGCAGGTTTGTATCCTGAGCCTCTGTACCACACTAGTCCCTCAATCTACTTTGTCTTACATTGAACCCTGCCCAACCCTGAATGCACTGCCATACCTCTCCCATCCAACCCATCCACCTTTCCCACAGCTATCCACCTCTCTAAATATACATCCATTCTTCAGGGCCTACGAAGCCTTCCCTGGCTGCTCCGGCACCCTCGGTCCTTGCTATTGAAACCTCAGTAGCCCTATGAAACTGTACTACAGATGCGCTTCCTTTCTGCTTTCCTCTCTATGTGCACCCGAGATGTAAGTTCCAGTAGGGCAGCAAGCTAAGGGGCTCACTAGTCCCTCATCCCTTCCCCCACAAATAACTTTACTCAAAGTAAGTAACACAGCGCATTCTTAGTAGGCAGAGGAGATGTTACTCAACAGGTTCCACTTCAGAGTTGTGCCTCTCCCCGAAAGGTGGAGATGAGAGGGGGTGCCTGGTGAGACAGGAGCTTGTTACCCAGGTCCCAGCTGTGTGACTGCTCCCGAGGCATCACTTACCTAGGTAGTAGCCATAGGTGGCTTGTTTGTATTCTTCCCAGGAAATTTTATCGTCTTTGTCCCTATCATAATCCTTCCAGACTTTAGCGACATTATCATAGATGTATCTTTTCTGCACCCGTTTGATCCAAATTTTCAACTCCTCGGTAGTGACAAAGCCATCCCCATCACTGTCAATTCGATCCACAATCTTCCTGTAGTTAAAAACAAACCCACAAGGCTATTATCAAGGCTTGTGTGATCTTGTTCCAGCAAAGGATCAAACACTTACACAATCTAAAATGCATATATTACAAAAATAGAATCAGTGAGCTGATGGTATTGGGGAGGATTTTCAAGTTTATCCTTCCTATGGATAACATGCCTTCTCCCCACCCCTGACTAGTGCCAACAGCAGACATTGTTAATGGCTCATGGCCCTCCATCCTGATAGACCTAGATGTGATCCCAGAATTCTCAGCACTCTGGAGACTGCTGCCACCAATTGACTAGAGTTGATCTAGAAGATGAAACCTATTTGTCTTCCCTGATGTAGTCCAACTCTTTCAGTCAGACTAATGAAACCAAGGCCCAGAGAAATGGAAATCTTTTCCAAGATCACACAACTTAGGTACAGCTGGGGTGAGGACTCATATTTCTTGGCTCCAGGTTCAGTGCAAAAAATAGGAAATTCTATGCAATCCAAAAGATAAGTGAGTCATTTGTTTTACCTTGGACTCAAAATATTTGAAAATTAAAAAGCAGGAGACTAGATCTTTTTGGACAAAGCATAAAGTATCCATAGGGTGAAAGAGCCTCAACAACATGGTACCTAATCAAGAAACTTGACCAATGAACAAGTGCAGCAGCCCAGCACCCCTGCTCTTAGGGTGAAGACTCCTATGTTCACTGGTGTCTCCAGCTCTACAGTCAGCCCAGGTTCCAGTGATTTCCTACTGGATTCCATTAAAGCATCCTTGACATTAATCCAGAGCAAATTTCAAGTTGGAAACTCACCATTTCTTCACCTCTAAGCCAGATGGTTCCAAGCAAGGAATGCCATCTCTGTTGGGAACTTTAAAGACATCCACAAGCTATTTTCAATGTTTAAAAAGAGTTTTAGCCGAATAGTTCATTAACCTGGGATGAGGTCACACAAGACAACTATGAAACTGCTTTGTTTCTTTGTTTGAGACTAGAATTCTATCAACTTCAGTGGTAAAATTTTCTTATGAACTCAAGTTCTCATTGACAGTTAATTTTTGATTAATTAAAAACACAAAATGAACTCCTTAGTTCTGCGTAAGTTCAGTTTGATGGGTTGATCTCCTGCAACTCCTAACTTTCTTGTTGGGAAATAGGGGGAAGGTAATGGTGGTGAAGTGAATTCTCCAAGTCTGTATCTCCTTCCTGAACCCATGGAGTCCCAGCTCCCCTTTCTCAGAAAGTGTGAACATTACTAACAGCTTTCAAGTGTCCCTTCATTGGCAATTTAATAGATCTTGAGAACTAAAAGACTAACCCTCACATGTCTTGGGCTCTCCCACCTCCAGGAAATCCCTACCAAACAAAGCAAGTTCCTTCTACATTGTGTGGTATCTATTTGCTAACTGCTCCTCCATCCTGGACTTATCCAAACTACGCAGGATCAGAATCTCTGGCCAGCAAAGACCGACTGACAACAGACCATATAACCCTCTTTTGAGGAAAAGATGGTATTTAATTTACTCCAAATAAATGCCCAGGATATAGCTTAAAAAAACTATTTGTAGGAGCTATACAGTAGGAACTCAAAAACTCTGTTCAAGGGATAAATATGATCTTGACCTCTCGGGTGAGTGACATGCTGGGAAAGGCAGTTGTGATGTAGATAAAGTTAAAAGCTGTTTTCCTCATCCTGGCTCTGGTTGCCATTATCTGTGTGGTCTTGGGAATGTGACTGACTCTCTAAGCCTCAGTTTCCCTATCTGTAACCCTACTTCACCAGGAAGGTTGTGAGGAATAAAGCAGAGGGATGTGCCTTTCCTTAGGAAAGACAATCGGTCAAGGGTGCATGCAGCACTCTGCAAACACTCACAAGTAATAGAAACAGCAAATAGAAACGAGTGAAGCTTCCAGGAGGGGCCTTGGCAACTGGGAGATCCCTGCCAGTGTGACACAAAGCTGTCCAACTGGGTGTTGGAAGAAAACAGAAATCGGGGTGTGGATGTGAAATCCTTCAAGTTTTACATGTTGGAGAGTAACTGACATTTTTAAAGATTATATATAGAAGTCATGTTTGAGACAGCATGCAGCCTGTGGGTTCCTACTTTGCAGCCCTCTGTCTCTAGCAGCCTTAGAGGTGTCATATTTTTAGAACTGATGACCAGGTAGTGTGATCCAAGTTGCTGGGATTCAACCATACTCCTCCCTTGGCAGCAGAGACTTGGACAGGACTATGGAGACAGTGGACAGGCAGTTTCTCACACTGAGCCCCATCCCCTCTGGACCCGTACTTTCCAAAAGTCCCACCTTGCCTGCAGCCCACATTTATCTTAAATGGAAGGTACCTGCACTATTCATCCATGGCTGAAGCCAGAGACCTGAATGTCACCTTCAGTTCCCCCTCCCTCCCCTCAGCCACACTGAGTCAAGAGCAAGAACTGTCACTTGTGTCTGGATCCATTCATCCTCTCCCGTCACCCAGACAGATCATGCTGGGATCTGGGGCACTGGCCTCCCTCTGTGCCTCAGTTATGTTCTCCACTCTGCTATCAGGCTGGCTTTCCTAACAGTATGTGGGGATTAGGACATTTCCACCACATACAGGATAACATCTAATCTCTGTCTCGCAGGACCTGTTCTGCCCTGGGTTTCCCCTTTACTCTAACCTCCTGCTTCCTCCTCCCAGCCCCTTCAGGGGCCCAGTGCCCCTCATGCCCCAGAACAGAGTTCAAAACCTTTATAAATGGGCTATTCTCTCTTTGGAAACACCTTCCTTTGCTGTATACCTGGCAACCTTTGAGTCATTTCTCACAAGCTCTGCTCAGGTGACATCAAAAACCCCCAACACCCCTGTCTCCAACCTGAAGCCTAGGGACTTCTCCTGGATGCACTGGTTGTGGTTTTAACATGCCACTATCACAACAGTCATGTGTGGTGTCTGTCTGTCCTCTACATTTCATTATGAACACTTTGAGGCCCAGAGCATGAATTTCATCTTTGAAACTGCCAGGTATCAAAGATGGATGCCTGGTACACAGTTGCCAATCCAATGTTTGTTGCACGAATAAGTGAATGAAGGAAAGGTCTCCATACAAAGATCAAACCCAGACCAACTCCATCAGCACTTACTCTTACCATTAGGCTGACCTAATGATGAAGGTATTAAATGAAGCCATAGGACCAAAAGCTATAGTTCCTTATTCCCAATCCTCAAACTTCTCCCCCTCCTCCTCTCCAATGACCATGCAAGAATGGCTGCTACCAAGGCCCAGAATAAATCAGTCTCCAAGTGCCTCAAAGCAATACAATTGACTGGATTCCTCAACATTCACTATTGTTGGATTCCAAACAAGAGAAAGCACTTCTCTGCCAAATAAAAAGTACTTGTTTGGAGGTGACTTTGAACTTCAAAGATCTTTTTATCACAACAGGCAGATGGTGCACCTACACAATAGGTATCATTTATCCTTCTATTCTAACTGAGCACATTAGCCTTTGGTAGCCCCTGCCAGCACAGGGATGGCTGTGTTCTTTTTAATCGTACCAGGACGCGAGGATCCTCCACCCCCATGAACCACATTCTGGTGCCCAGTAGGCAGGGCTGTTGTCACTCCCCAGCCCTGCCTCCACATGGGCCACACTGGCTTGCAGTTCCCTCTGGAAGGGTTTCCAGATAAGTTTGCACAATGCCCAGCTGTCTCCTTGGGGACCAGGGGAGGGTGTACTGAGAGGTAGCCGTTTTGTTTCTTTCCCAGGTTTGGTTTCTGATTCCACAGCTAAGTTCACAATCCACCACCACAGGCCACCCCACTTCTTTTTGACCCTAACGATTAGTTACCAAAGAACTGAATGCCTCAGCCACATTTGCTAGCAGAAACGAAGGCGCCCGTTTCCATCTCTGCGCCTACCCCCTTTCAGATCTCTAATTTCTCCTCCCTTCTTAAGAACCAGATTTTTATGGCCGTACATCATATTTACTAGACGATTAGTCAGAAGGCAAGAACACTCCAGTCCTGGCTCCAGAGACGCACAGGCCAGGAATCAAGCCCCTCCAACGCCTGCCCCCTGCATCTTTTAGCATCTGTTCATCCTGGAGACCTTAGCAAGTGTCTCAAGCCCCCTCTTTCCAGCATGAGGACTAAGAAATTGCGACGGTGGGGGAGAACTCATGTACTAAAAAGGCCACTGTGGACTAACTCTTTTCTACGCTCTCACCCCTCCCTTCTGATGCAACCACGAGGAGGGGGCGGGTCTTCTCGGTCCTGGCTCCCGCGGCCGCTGCCACGTTCTAGCCTCCCCGCGGGAAGCCACCCCGGCCGGGGCGTGGCAGTGATCCGCACGCGGGGTCCCGGCGCCCGCAGGCAAACTTTGCCGTGGCCCAGCTGCTGAGCCGGACGGGCCCGGCGCTCCGATCCACCCGCGCGATTTCGCTTTCGTTTCGCGCAGAGGTCCCGCGTGGCTCCCATGCGGGTGGCTCCCATGCGGGTGGCCCCGCGCGCACCAGCGTCACCCCCAGCGCGGCCCCTGCCGCGCAGCCTCACCCCAGCCTCTCCTTGCTCTCGTCCGGGGTGAGCTGATCGAAGGTCTTGGAGTCCTCCTTGCCCAGGAAGGCCTCGTGGTCGTATTGGAAGCTCTGATTGTCCTCGGGGGGCCGCTCGCCCAGCTCGGAGTCGGGCCGCACCACGCGCTCCTTGCGCACCATGGGCTTGGCCCGCAACGTCCGGGGCGCCAGCGCCAGCGCCAGGAGTAGCCCCAGGGCGAGCCCCAGGCGGCGGCCGTGGCCACCGCGCGCCATCGTCCCGTGCAGAGGGAGGCGCGGAGCGAGCGACCCGGGCGGCGGCTGGGGAATGGGGGCTCGGCGCGCGGCGGCGGGGGAGGGGCCGGCCGGCGCCGCAGCAGTGCCCGCCCCGTGCCCCGCGGAGGGGCGCGCCCCGGGCTCGCGCGGGAGGCGCGGGCGGCCCCGCTCACGAGCCCATTGGCCGCCGCGCAGCCTGCGGGGGAGGCCGGGGACGCCGAGCCACGTCGCCAGCCGGGGCGGTGGGCGCCAGGCTCAGGTTTCGCCTCGGCCCCTCCCTGAGATCTCGTCGCAAGGGGCGGGCCCAGGCGAACCGGACTAGGGACTGGATGGCCCGCTGGAAGACCGGGAAGAAGTTCTTTGTCAAGCAACAGATGTTCAGGATAAAAATCTTTCTCCAGTTCCGGAGAAGTGGAAGGAAGCTGGCTTCCAACAGAGCGCTCAGCTTCAGCCCCAGACCCGCCCCGAGACGTGCTCTTCAACCCAGTTCAACGCCACTGAGCAAAATTTGGAAACTGGTTTCACACTCCAGAGACTGCAAGGAGACCAGGGGTGGGCGTGGTCCCCTAGGTACAGGGATTGCAACCTCAGACGTCCAGGAGGGCTGAGCGGATAATTCCAGTATGACCGGGGCCCATCTGAAGGGAACAGCCCCTATGCACTCCAGCTACAGGGGGTGGGGGAGGGATGCAGGCACCCACTGGGCAGATAGTCCCGTTTCCCGAAGAAATCGGGATTTCGGATACATGAATCCAATTCTGTCAGTATATTAAATCTGGATTAATGGTTGCAATCGGAGAAGCTCTGTTCCCTAGCTTTCTGCGGTGACGGGAATGTTCTCTATCTAAGCTGTCCTATGCATAGTGACCACTGAGTACTTGATATGGAGCTTGTCTGAAGCATTGAAATTTTAAACAGCCACATGTGGCTAGTGGCTGTCCTATTGGACAGCGCAGATTGCAAGCAACCATTCTTTTTGTGTCACAACCTTTTGAAACTCATTGAAAGCTGTTGGCCGTCTTCCAGAAAAATGCAGTCAATTATTGGCATACGCGTTTGATCAAAGTGTCAGAGGGCTAAGGAATCTTGAAACTTCACCCATAAGGCCCATGTTAAGGATCCCTAGAGAACTAGAACTGTGGTGGAAGAGAAAAGCCCATCCCCATAACCCTAAGGAGGTGAACTTCCAGAAGTTTCCTCCATCGTCTGTTCACCTCCTCCACCTTCCTAACTGTGCTTCCTGCCATTGCAATAAGGATATCAGGCCATTACCAACAGCAGCCTGGATGCAAGTATGTCTTATGAAGATCTCTTTAAATTAATTAACAATTACTGTGGGCCTAGCACAGCCTAAACACTGGGGCATAAGACAGCTATGGTGTGTGCAGAGCTGTAGTGTATGTGATCAGTTGTTCATTCATTCAGTGACTAAAATGAGCACCTGTTAAAGGTCAGGGTTATGACTGGTTTATTGACCATCCATAGTCTGCAAATCACTGTGACAAGTGCTCAGAGAGGAAGGCATTCAGTACTATGGAGATACTTCAAAAGGACAGGACCCAGGCTTAGGGATCAACAGGAAAGGCCTTATGGAGTAAAAACTGAGACTGCAGGTAAGTAGGATAAGCTGGAGGAGGAGGAGGAGGGGGAGGTTATATGCGAGGATGATAAGGCCCTGCGTGAGCCAGCAGAGGACAGTGGAGCTTGAGGTAGTTTCCCCATTATCTTGTACATCCCCTCTGGCTGGTAGTGAGACCTGCAGATTAGTCTTCCTTGCCTCACCCAACTTCAGTTGACTTTACATGAATGAGAAATGTTGTGTTCAAGACCAGACCTGCTCCCACCCTCCTAGCCAGTCTAGAGGCTTGGATTTCTAAGAAAGGAGAGCTAATCTAAGAACTCCCTACTAAAATCCAGATGTGCTGTAAGTGGCTTAGCACCTGTGCTCATCAGTCAAGCAGGATATGAATTGTAGAATGAGGTGGGAGAAAAAAGGGGTGGGAGGGGTTACAGGGAGGGACAGGGAGGATTTGGAAGGGAGTGGGCAAGTAAGTGGAGACTGGTGACGTAACTTTAGCCATGAGCTGGCCTGGCTCATTGAGATTGATCCAAACTCTCAAGAATGAAGATGGCACATCTTTGCCCTCGTTTACAGTGACTTCCTGTCAGACATTAGTGATTTCCAACAGATTGTTGTTCCAGAGGTAATCTTAGCTCCAGTGGAAATTACTGTAGAATTTCAGCCCTGCTGTGAATCTGGAAGCATTTATGCAGTTTCCCCTGGGCTTGCTTCCTTCATATTTTCAACCCTCCATTCCCCCTTGAGAGTTCAACAAGTTCTCTCAAAAGATCAGGAAAGGTGATGATACAAAATAGTCAAAGGATTGCACTGTGCAATTGCTTTCTTTTATTTTTAGAAATTGCTTTTCACTTCTCCCCTGTGCCTGTATGGGGAGACTAGTTTGTCATCTTTTCGGTTAACCTCCATTCTGGATGAGGCCACAGAACCAGAAACGGGGAGTGACATGTGGCAGAGGGTTGAACTAGTACAAAAGAAAAGCAGGTTTCAAATAGGTGTTCGGCTGCAAGTAACATCATCGATATTCCAACCAGAAGTTACTAAAACAACAAGAAAACTTTACCATCTCACGTTAAAAAAAGTCTTGAGTAAGATCAGCTTCAGATTGGTTAAGTCAAGTGGCTTCAGGACATTAAGAAAGCAGGTTCCGGTTTGGGGTTTCCCTCATAAGCAGAGAAACCTGCTTTTCTCCCTGTATTAGGAAGAAAACTTTCCCAGCAGACTCCTCTGGCCAGAATGGTGGATTATGCCTAATCCAATGACAGAAAGAAAATTCTGTGGTTAATTTAGACCAATGAAGATTCACTCAGTGTTAGTGATAATCAACCCTAGACTGATTACCAATCCTAAAACGTTTCACAAGGCATAAAACCCGAAAATTATTTCCAGGTAACTTTGTCCCAGAGAAAAAGCTCAAGAAGACTTAAATAAATAAGTAAGTAAATAAATACAATCAGCACCCCAAAAAAGTAAAACTCACAATTTCTAGCATCCATTCAAAGTATGACAAAGAGTCAGGCTTGGTGGCAATGCTTGTACTTGGGAGGCTGAGTCTGGAGGATTGTGAGTTCGAGGCCAGCTTAGGCTACATAGCAAGACTATGTCTCAAAAAACAAGCAGAAAAATAAAACAAAACAAAACAGCCGCAACAAAAGACACCCCAAGGCAGAAAAACATAACAAGGAGAATAATTATCAGTAAAAACTGACCCGGAAATGACACAGGTGTTAGAATGGTCAGAGAAAAACATTAGCATAGTCACCATTGTTATATAAATGTGTTTTGAAACTTCAAAAGAGGCAGGAAAGTCACACAAAAAAGATGCAAATTGTAAGTATACAGATCAAAACTGACCTGTTGAGACAGAAAATACACTATATAAGATTAATAGAAACCAGTGTGTGGGGAAGGTTATAAGGAAAGGGTGTAGGAGGGGAATATGGTGGAAATATGTCCACAAGTATATGAATGGAAAAATGAGACCTGTTGATGCTATTCCAGGAATGGGGGGGCGGGTAAAGGAGAATGATGGAGGGGGTGAATTCAACTATGATATATTTTAAGAACTTTTGTAAATTTCACGATGTACCCCCAGTACCACAAAAATAATAAAAAAGAGACAGGCTGGTGTTCTGACAACGAGACGGGGGAGGGGATGGCAAAGCAGAGAGATAAAACTTAAAGAATTGAAACATGAATTTCATATAGCACTGGGGAAATGAAATAGCCAATTAAGTCACATGCAGCCATATGAGGGTTGAGCTTTGCTTTATGCTTCTGTAACCTGCTTGCAAGGTTACATAAGGTGAGACCCCTTTGTTCTCGGGGGTTCAGCATTTGGACATGAGTCCACTGGGTCTGTGCCAGCACAATAAACGTTGCTTCCTGCTAATCTGCCTCAGAGACTCAGCTAGCAAACTCCCGAAACAGATTAATCGAAGATTAGATTGAAGAAAATATTAGTGAACTTGAAGGCATACCAGTAGAAACAATCCTAAATGAAACACGTGGATAAAAAATGAAAGAGAGCCAGTGATGTCTGGGGCAACCTCAAATTCTAATTTGAATCTGCGAAGCGGAGGCAGAAAAAGTATTTAAATACATGTGGTCAGAAGTTTTCCAAACTTGGTTAAAAGTTTGGAAGGGGCGGGGGACACGGACAGATGGGGCATGATGACAAGTTTGGAGACTACTGCCAATACAAGAAAGATAGCAACTTTGATACCTTAAATTTATCCCTGGCGCTATGGACTGAATTGTGCACCCTCAATTCATGTGGTGAAGAACTAGCACCTAAGAGAGGCAGGCACTTTTAGGGCCAAACTCCTCTGTTAGTGCACCTTTCCTTTTGTTTTAAGTAAAACTTTTTGGAGAAAACTGAACGTGCCTGGAGGCATTCCTCTTTGCCGTCTTCATGACAAAAGCGGAACGCGCTTCCAATTTTAACCTTTTGTCTACTTTTTCAACAGGTGCTCCTCGACCTTGAGTTAAGCATGCTCAAGGGACAAAGATGTGCCTCCCATCTTTCTTTCTTGACTTAGGACCTTAAACAGCATACTCCAAAATGTGTCCGCCCCTTAAAGTGCTTTCCTATAGGAAAACATAAGTTCCCCCTACCAAAAAAACCAAAAAAACAAAACAAAAAACCTCCAGAGCTGTGAGAAAATAAATTTCTGTTGTTTAAGCCACCCAGCCTGTGGTATTTTGTTATGGCAACCTGAGCAGACTAATACACCTGGTAATTCTATTTCATGATAGTCCGTGGCCCAGGTTATGTGTAGATGGGAAAGAAGACAGGTAGAAAAGGGGAACACTTGAAAAGTGCAAGAAAGAGAAGGTAACTAATAAAGCAAAGCCCTAGATCAGCAAATGAAAGCTAAGGACTGTCATCTAAAAATCAACACAAGCACAAAAGTTTGGATTGATTTCATAAGATCCATGGATCACCTGGTGGGTATCACGGACTCTCCATGAGCCCATGGACTCTAGCTAAACAAATCTCTGT